GACCAACCCATTCAGCCCTCCACATCTGCTTCACCTGGGTCCTGGGCCACTCCATATCCACGGACACCTGTCTTCAAAGCTGGAGACCAAGTGGAGACTGCCTCTGTCCCATCACCCTGGCACTGGGACACCTCTGGTTCCTGCCACTCCCGCAACTGCCCTGGCTGTCCCTTGTCCCCTGTTCGTCTCTTCCCTCCTCACTGGCTGGAGCCACTCTGGCTAACATGCACACGGCCTTGCCCTACTGCTGAGCACAAGACCAGCGTCTGGTCGCAGCCTCTGAAGTGCTCAGACCCAGTGAGACAAGGACCCTGGTCTGTGGCTCCCTCACCTAGGACAGGTCAGACCTTGACATGCTTGGGATGGGGGAGGAGAGATGGGAGGTGCAGGTGGCCTCCGTATCTATGGCTCTACTTCAGCACCCTCAACCAGCTGCAGACCAGACACAGGGGACAGGGGCGCTGTGTCTATACCGAGGGGCGCTGTGTCTATACTGAGCATGTGCAGATTACACTACATGACGCAGCCTAACCACCACCTACACAGCATTTAGTCTGCGTGAGAGATAAGTGAACCAGAGGTGGTTTAAAGCCCATGAGAGGACAGATCCTGTGCATGTGCTGTACCACTTCACGGCAAGGGCCTGAATATCCTGGGACTCCACGGGGACAAGCAGCAACCCACATCTTGTCATGCAAAGCCTCAGCGAGGGGTCGAGGCTGTGGATGCCTGAACTCCATCTATCCACTTCCTCGCCATCGTGGGGTGCCCCGCATCGAGCAGCAAGGCCTGCATGGCACTGCTCCGCCCTGCCACCCTTCCCCAAGTCCTGCCTGCCCAGGCTCCCCTCACGCTGAGGCTGCTCCTCCTGCCTGGAGCCGAATCCTCCAGTGCTCCCCACGCCCTCACCTGGGGCATCACCCTGAACCCCAAAAGTCGGAAGCGGATTCCAGACTGACCATTTCAGCAGCACAAATGCCACGGGAGGTGGAGAACTCGAATGGCTGTCTGCCTTCTTGGAAAGGGTGAAGAACAAAGCAAGACAAGAACAAATCAATATTTCAGTGAATTATCCTGCCACAGCAGTGAGGTCACTTTGGTGGCCAAGAGGGGCTGAGGCCCCGGCTGGCCCTGGGAACATCTAGAGAGTGCTGCTGACTGACAGCTGCGTCCGGTCTGGCGTGCATGGGAGGCAGCTTCACTCCAGGGCTCTGCATGTGCCCAGGAGGGGCATGCTCCTCCAAGCCACCTGGGACATCCCGTCCCACACCCCTGGGCCTCTGCTTGTGCGCACCAATCATAGGTGGGCACTGGGTGGGCACTGCCTCCTCCAGCCGTGCCTCGCTTCTCCGTTTGCCACAGTCCTCACACTCCTTACCCCACTTTCTTTAGATCATTGTCAGGAACCACCACTCTGTGTCCCTCGACCTGTCCCTCTGTGCACCACAGACTGCCGCTCCAATTCTCATCCCCCGTGGCACCTGCCCACCCAGCACACTTGGGTTCACAGAATCCTTCAGCACCCCTGGAATGGAGGCTCTGTCCGCATGGCCTCGGCCTGCTTCAGCCTGGGGCTCCGACCCTGTGTGGTGTCTGCTCCTCTTTGGCTCTGATGTCACAGTGTCTTTCTGACTTGACTCTTGAATCCTCTTTTGAGCCTTGGTCAGAGCGCCTCTCCCCTTGTAGGATGTGCTAGTTGGCCCTGAAGCAGACCACATTGTTCATCTGCCAGCTAGTGCCCTTGCTAGGTGCCTTTGTGCCCCCAACCCCAGTGCATTGCTGGGTTTCTCCTGGCTGCAAGTGACAATAACACAACTCAGAGCTGGCTTTCATATGTGAGGCATCTGTGGCAGAAGGCTCCAGGCCAGTCTCTAGGGACCCCCTGTCTTAGAATTCACACCCTGGTGTGGTACCTGCTCCTGACTGGATTGACTGAGATTGGGTTATAAAAAGGCTGTGGCTTCTGTCTGAGGCACGCACTCCTTGTCATTTATGCCAAAAGGGCAAACTGCCGTGTGTATGCTGCCCCGTGGAAAGGGCTACCTGGTGTGGTCAGGAGCCTGCGTCTAATAGTCGGCAAGGAGTGGGGTCCTACCCACAGAAACTATGAGAAAATAAATGCTTGGTTTTTAGGAGCAATACATTTTGGGGCAATTTTTATGTAACAAAAGATAATATCTAGGTAGGGAATAGCTCAGTGGCACAAGCGCCTGCCTGGCAAGTGTAAGGTGCTGAGTGCAGTCCCTTACCGAAAACCTCACCAAACACACACACACAAAGAATGTCCATAGAAGGCAGGCTGCAGCTGCAGGCGAACCCAGGTGCTTGCTGGAGACAGCAGGAGTCCTCCTCCACCCAGGCCCTGCTCGGCTCTGTGGAAGCCTCCTCCTCCTCCTCTTGGGGTGGAGCCTCCTCCGTGGTACCAGGCCGCATCCTGTCCTCACCGACTCCGTGGCCTTCTGGGCTGAGTGTTCGCCCCTGAGTCATCACAGTGGCCAGGAAGATGCACTGCGAGGACTGCCCATGCCTGTGCCTTCCCACACCACAGCCTGGAACCCGACAGACTAAGGAAGGGACGTTTGCCCAGCAGTCCAGGTAGACGAGGGCGGGCAAGAGCCCGTGCAGCCCACAGAGCATCGGGCAGCCCCTCCTGCTGCGTGTCTCACTAGTGGAACTTGGAGCTTGGGAGCAGGTTAGCTCCTGACCGCTGGGCTGGAGAGACACATCCTGTGCTGACCCCTTGATTTGGATGACAGCCTTAAGCTCAGGGTCACACCACCAGCCCCCGGGCCACACTCAGGACCCAGTCGGACTCGCTCTTGAGGATTGCTCACGTGCACGCGATGCTCTGCTGACAGCGAGGCAGGAGGCCCTCTGACTCACTCCTCCTTCAGAGCTGCGACCTCGCAAGGGTACCTGGAGGTAGATGCCGCCTGGCAGGGCCTCAGGGAACAAGTTGTGGAGATCTGGCTTGGATCTAATGCAAGGCTCTGCCCCCTTTCCCTGCTCCTCCAGCATCAGCCAGGGTGGCCAAGATGAGGCTGCGGAAACAACAAAATTCCACATCCCAGTGGCCTTAAACAACAGCGATGCAGTTCCTGCTCATGCTGTATCTGTGTTGTGGGTCAGTGTAGGGCGCTGACCACGTTGTCACTCAGGCTGCAATGCCGGGATGGTGCCGCACCATCTCCACGTGGCTGGACTGTGTGAGAGAGAGAAGCAAACTCGGACCTCTTTTGCTTACAGCTCTGGCCAGGGCTGCTGGCACTGTCCTGGTCATGGGGGTGGGGGGAGTTGCAGGGGTGCCCCGCTCTGGTGCACCTCCCCTACGCTGTCATCTGTACCAGACAGAGCCAGTTACAGGACTCTGGTTTGAGCCCTGCTCCATTAGGACTCATTACTGTCCCGTTACAGTGAGTAGTCTCCTTTCCCAGAGCAGGAGACAGTCTCCGCAGTTGCTCTGTGCTTAGGACTTGGGAACTGGTCTGGCATCGTGCGTTTCTCGGACATGAGTACACAGCGACCCAGCCACGCCTTGCCTTCCTCGGCCCTGACCCGCTTCTGTGGCTTCAGGCTTCTTCTGGAGCTACCTGACTCAGTCACAGTTCCCTACCTCCACCTTCACTGCTGATACGTACGGAGAAGGCTGTGGCTGCGCAGTCACTCCTCTGTGGCGAGGAGACTGGCCCTGGGACCCCCAGGACACCCAAATCTTTGGATGCCTAAGTCCCTTATACAAAATGGTATAGAATTTGCATATAAGCTATGCATATCACTGGTTTATGTCACCCCAAGATGACTTATGATACCTGACACAGCACCAATACCTTGCAAAAAGTTTCTATCCTGTATTATTTTTGTACCAGGACTCAGGACCTTGCCCTTGCTAGGCAGGCACTGTGCACCGAGCTGTATTCCTGGCCCACCCTATTTATCTTCAGGCTGTATGTGTTCAGTACAGAGGCAGCGTCTTCTAGAAATGCTCAATCGGAGGTCAGTTGACCCTGGCATAGACTGCTGGGCGCTGTGCTCAGGTTTCCTGCTTACTTATGCGCCCAGTTGTGCATCTCTGTAGTCACGCATATCCTGAGAGAGAAACAATGTGCCCAGGGCTCTGGGAGGGCCTCTCAGCGCCGCGGAAGGGAATTCCTTCCCAGGTGGGGCTACGTAGCAAAGCCCAACACGCCTGCTCCGAGGGGCTTGAGAGGCCCAGCACGCTGCTCCCAGGCCCTTGGTTGGGGATGAGTCGTGTGCGTCTTGCTGGGGGAGGCAGTTTAGGGTGTGGGGTGGATGCGGAGTTTGGCTTTCACTCTCCTGTGTTCAGATCTGATCTTGTCCACTTCCCGGGTGCATGCGCCAGGGAGGCAGCTCCACGGTGCTTCTGGGTGGTGCGTGCCAACGCCAGCTGCAGAGTGGGTGCCCAGGACTGTGGGCCGCTGCTGGTGGCTTCCCTGCATGGTTCCTGTGTAAATGCTCTGCTTTGGCTCCTGTTCTGCATACATCTCCTCCACAGCAGGTGCATTTTCTTTTCCTCTGTGTTGTTTTTTCAGTACCGTCTAATGGGAAAATATAAGGCTATCTCCCTTTCCTCCACGGGTGCACATCCTCCTGGGGTTTCCGATACCTGCCCTGCACCCTGAACTCTTTGGGTGAGATCCACATGCATTTGCCTGCTGGCCAGAGCATGCATGGGATAAGTCTCTGGTAGAATGCAGGGACTCCCGGAAGTGAGGTGGACTAATGGATGGGGGTGTAGGTGACCCCAGAGCTGCATTTTCACATGTTGCCTGCAAATTGTCCAGTGACTTTGTACGGAAACTCCTGCAGGTGAGTGTCTCCAGGGAACCTTCCATTCAGAATGGAGCTGAGTGAAAGGGGTCCATGAGTCCTGAGAAGGGGCTTCGTGTCACCTGGGCCAGAGGCCCAGAGCCAGCAAAACAGCTGGCTCACCCCCACGTAGCTGACACAGCACCACCCTCTATCCTGTCATGCTCCCGCAGTCCATGAGCCTCATCGAGATCGGGAACCCCTCCCAGAGCTTGGAGAATGTTTGCCGCTGGGCCTACCTACAGCAGAAGCCGGACACAGGCCACGATGAGTACCACGACCATGCCATCTTCCTCACCCGGCAGGACTTCGGGCCCTCAGGCATGCAAGGTAAGCCCCACCCACGCAGGTGCTGGTTAGGAGATAAGGTGGGCTGCATGGGCCATGCTGGGGAGAAGCACGGGGCAGGAGTGGCCGTGGGCACCCTAGCTGTGCGAGGGTTTTGCTCACTGCTAATGACCTTCTGGCTCAGAGAAACCACTAGGACATAAATCTAAGACACTGCATCTCCCAGGGGACTGAAGGAGATCAGATGTGACCAAAGAGACAGGGACTGAATCCAGAAGCCCGAACACTAGATGGCATCTGAGGATGGGTTTAGAGTTATTTGAGTCCCCTGGTTTCTAAAAAATAAATTTGAATCAGTTGTCAGCCTTTAAAAATGTAGAGATTTCTTACATAAAAATTCAAACTAAAAAAATGTTCAAACTACACAAACATGAAAGACAGAGACAGATAGATAGATAGAGAGAGAGAGAGAGAGAGAGAGAGAGAGAGAGAGAAATATTATACTAAACCAGTAGAGGATATGTACAGTTTATGATGCATATGAAAATATATCAAAATAGACTGTTGAACTCTAAGGAAATCCCAACAAAATGTAAAAGGTCAAACTCCTGCAGAGTATATTCCCTGACCACATAGGAAAAGAAATCCTAAATGTTTGAAATTAAGTAGTACACTTATAAATATTCCATGGGTCAAACAAGAGACAGCAATAGAAATTGGACTATATTTTTAATTGAATGGCAGTGGTGACACATCAAAACTCACCAATAAGCTAATGTAATGATTAGATTAATGTAGCTTTTAGTGCATTTATTAGGAAAAATGGCTGAAAAATGGTTGTGTGCATATATCTCAGAAATTCGACAAACAGCATCAAATTAAATCCATCAGAAGTAGGAGGAAGGATATCATAAGCATAAGAGTAGAATTATTGAAATAGAAAACAATTATTGTATGGAAAACCAAAAGAACCAAATTCTGATTCTCTGAAAAACATATTTTGAAAAAAAATCATAGTTTGGAATTGAAAAATCCCTAGAATACTAAGTTTAAAAAAGAAAGTACAAATCAATTAATACACACCTTACAGAATCTTAAAATATAGTAAGAAGGTATTTTGAGCAGTTTTATGCCAGTAGCTGCATCTATTTAGATGGAAGCTTCAAATCTTGAAAAAACATAAAATCTGAGGAAAATAGTAACGTCGTCTCTATTAAAGAAATTAAACATGTAATTAGAAGCCTGCGTTAAGCCTCAGG